AATATTGATCTACATCTATATATTGATGTTGTATATTCAATCAATTGGTTATTGTATGACTACTATGTAAAAGTTTTTGGCACAATGCTTAGGAAAGTATATATGTTGGTAAGATATAAGGTTCTTATTGTGTCAATAAAGATTTAGTATTCTTCAAAAAAAAAAGATTTAGTAAATATGACGGGTAAAATAGATATTAGGTTGTACAGCTATCAGGATCTGTTTTGTTCACTTTATTTTCACTTATTTCAAGCGTAATAAGTTCAATCAAGTTCAGATAAATTCAATTTAGTTTTAATAAGTTTTAATAAAGGTTACCAAGTACAAATTACAACTAGAATAAGTTTTAATAAGATGTTAAAGTATAATAATTAAAAAGAGAAAAGTTCAAATTAGGTGAATAAAACATACCCTAAACCGGTTAATATGACAAGAAAATTTTAGTTTTAATTCCCTCCACAGGAGATAGAAAATAACTTTTCTTTAATAGAACATAATAATTTATTCGGGTTTTTTTTCACAAGTTATTCGTTTTTCAATTAATTAAATAACAATATAAAAAATAAAAAAGAAGTAAAATATAAGAAATACAAATGACAGAGTACTATTCATATCACATTCCTTAATATTTGTATTATCCATTATTGTTAGTGAATACTTTAATAATTAATTTGTTAATGTAAATAAGTCCATTATTACTATAGCAATTTTTGGTGCAACAAGCCACGCCATGCGGTAGGAGTTACTCGAGTTTTTTTTTTAGGGGTTACTTAGGGTTTTACTCGATCAAGGGTTACTTGAGTTTTTAAGTCAAGGGTTACTTGAGTTACTCGGTCAGGACTTACTTGAGTTTTTCAGTCAGGAGTTACTCGAGTTACTCGGTCAGAGGTTACTTGAGTTACTCGATTAGGGGTTACTTGAGGGGTTCGGACAAGGGTTACTCGAGGGGTTTTCTCAGTTAAAGGTTACTCAGTCAGGGGTTACACAAATTTCTCAATCAGGGCTTACTCGAGTTTCTCGGTCAGGCCGCATTCAAAAAATAGTGACTCGAGTAACCCCTGACCGATAAACTCGAGTAACACCTGACCAAGAAACTCAAGTAACCCCGAAAACTTAAGTAACCCCTGACCAAGAAACTCAAGTAACCCCTGCCGCATGGTACTACATGCCGCATATAAAAAATTGTGTTAATACTAGCTAATTCATATATTATTTATCAATATCGATCTATACATACATATTTGTGTTGTATATTCACTCAGTTTTTTGGTTGTGCGACTGTTATGTGATTTTTTAGCACAATGCTTAGACAAAATACGTACAGGTAGATAAGATATAAGGGTACTTAGCTTGTATACTACATAATGATAAAATTATGTCTATAGATTTGGTGATTATAATGGGTAAAATAGATATTATATTGCATAACTATTGAACCGATTAATATGACGATAAAATTTTAGTTTTTAATCCCTCTATAGACTACGGGTAACAGGAAATGACTTTCCTTAGCTTGTGTAGTGCATATTTTATTCATTATTAATCAATAAAATGACAATATAAAAAATGAAAAGGAATAAAATAACAGCAATAAAATAATTTTCATATCACATTTTGTAAACAATATATTGACCATTATTGTGGTTGTATGGGGAAATATCTACATAACGGAAATCATAATGGGTCGATATGGTATGACAGACCGACATACTATTTGAATTCGATCCATCAAATGGCTTTTGTTAATATCGGCATTCCTATAAACTATACATATCGGCATGTAAATAGCTGCCACGTGTCGTGCTCGCGTTTGACACGTGGCAGAAATTATGTTACTTATTGAACTGCCATCTGTCACTTAGTAAACATATAAATAATCCGGTTTTACTTCATAAACAAGGTAGCATTTATTACACTCTTTCTCTCACTACTTTCTTTCTCTCTCTAAATCATCTTTCTTCTATAAACACTTGCTGACTTAATCTTTGGAGTGGTGATCCCCGGATTCACCCCGGGGCTAGCTCATCTCTTCTCTTTGTGTAGGTTCTTATTTGGCCGATAGGAGCAGAACGAGTTACTTACTTGAGCTTCGGATCTTGAATTCGGATTATTGGATTCCTACAGAAACAGTTGGCGCTAGAAGGAGGGAGCTACTTAAATATCTTCTATCGCCTGAAAGAGCCTTATACATTCCGATAAAAAAAAAATAAAAAAAAATAAAAAAATGCCTGATCCAGAAATTCAGATTGAGGATGAAACTCATACTTTGGAGGGTAATGAATTCCATATGCCGTTAACCCCTGAAGGGCAGGCTGGGGCAGATATAGACCCTATGGCTGGGTTTACATCAGAAGAGTTGGCAACAGCTGCAAGGGTAATGACAGCTATGAGCAAGAAAAGAAAAGAAATAGGGGCAACCCAAGATGGAGGGGGGATGCCTTTTACAGCTCATGGCAATCAATTTAACCAGACCGGAAGTTCGCAAAGACGCCAGATTGAGGGGTCGCCGATAAGATCCTAACAAACCCCTAGAGAATCAGAGGTTCGATCCTCAAGTCAGGATGAAAGTACGGGAACTTACCAACAAGGAGCGGTGCGAAGAGTAGTTTAGTTGAGGGCATCACCATTTGCACAAAGCATCCTTGATCAGCCAATGGAGAAAATCAAAATGTCAACATGTCGATATGATGGAAGGGGAGATCCAGGTAGATACATGACCTCGTATGAGGGTCACATGATTTTATACACCAATTCTGATGTCGTTTGGTGTAAGGTATTTCCCACTACTCTGGTTGGAGCAGCAGCCGATTGGTTCAATAATCTTGAAAATGGAGCAATTCACAGTTTCCAACAGTTAGCCGAAATGTTCGTAGGGCAGTATGTCAGTAATAGTGTTCGGCAGAGAACTTCTGGAGAGTTAATGGCTGTTACTCAGAAGGCAGATGAATCTTTAAGGGATTATATAAGGAGGTTTAATAATGAAGCTAATACAATTCCAAGATTGCAGTAGGAGATAGCAGTCATGGCACTAATGAACGGTCTGAATGATTCGGAATTCAAGAGATACTTAACCCGAAAAATTCAGCCAACATTAGCTGCAACTTTTAACAAAGCTCATGATTATATTAAAAGTGAGGAATTGATGAAGACAAGCAGCCGAATAAGTTCTACTGATAGAATTCACCCTATGTCTGAAGGGGGATCTTCAGAAATTGTGAGGTCGAGGAACCCAACGGCAGCAAGAGGGGGAAGCCGCCAAGAGGTCAGAGGAGCCAAAGCACCAATGCAATATAATTCGTATACACCTCTAAATGCACTAAGGGCTGCAATATATTCTATAAATCAAAACCGAGAAGGATGGGTGAGACCCATGCCGATGAAAGCGAAAGGAAGGGATACCAAGAAGTATTGCATGTTCCACCGAGATGTAGGGCATTACACTGAGGACTGTGTGTAATTGAAGGATAATATCGAAGAATTAATAAGAAGGGGGCATCTTACTCAATACCGGTTACACTCTGGGGAAAGTCAGCAACAACAATATCGGCAACCAGAACGCCAACAGATAGAATACCGGCCAGAAAGAAAAGGTCAAGTGAACCGACAGGGTGAAGGCGGACAACCAGCGTCGTCCACTGGAAAAAGAGTTAATGTAATAATCGGTGGACCAGTTCACGGAGGAACCATAAGTGGAGCACGGAAGCACCTGTCGGAATATCAGCACATTGTTAATGCATTAGATGTTGCTGATCGCCCACAACCGTTTGAAATTCCGAATGTAACCTTTACCAAAGAAGATGCAAAAGGAATAGTGTTTCCTCATGATGATCCCCTTGTATTAATAACAAAGATCAATGGAGCCGATGTGAAAAGGGTTCTAGTTGATGGAGGAAGTTCAGCAAATGTTCTGTTTATGCAAGCCTTCAATGAGTTGATGATAGGCCGACAATATTTAACGCCGGTATCATATCCGGTGATTGGGTTTAACGGTTCAACAGTAAGGCCAGAAGGGAGTATAGTTCTCCCTATTAGGCTTAGAGACGGTACAACAGCAAGAGATGCGATGGCTGAATTTTTAGTAGTGGATGTACCGTCGGCGTATAATACAATTGTAGGAAGGCCGATAATTCATGACATACAGGCAGTAGTATCAACTTACCATCTAACTATTTCTTATGTGTCAAATAGAGGGGTTGTGGAAAAGGTACATGGCGGACAGGTGATGGCAAAGTCATGCTATGTCACGGCGTTAAAAAATCCGGGGCAGAAAGTAGAAGTACCAAACAACCCTAAGCGGGCAAGAGAGCCAACAGTGCAAGATTTGTCAATGGAGAATTTTGATTCTAGGCCAGAAACTGCGCCGAGGCCGTCACCAGGAGGTGAGACACTGCAAGTGGAACTCCGACCAGGGAACCCAAACAGTTAAGGTGGGGGCCGATATGGATGTTGAAATGAGGTGTAATCAGATCAGCTTGTTGAGAGAAAATGCGGATGTGTTTGCCTTTTTGGCAAGTGATATGCCGGGCATACACCCAGAAGTGATGGAACATAAACTCAATGTTGACCGAAGGTTCAGACCGGTAAGGCAAAAGAAGCGCAACTTCTCAACAGAAAAAATTGAAGCCATTCAAGCAGAAGTCAACAAGCTGTTAGCGGCAGGATTTGTAGAACCATGTACTTATCCAGAATGGTTGGCAAAAGTTGTAATGGTTAAAAAAGCCGACTGGGAAATGGCGGATGTGCGTGGATTTTACAGATCTGAATAAAGCTTGCCCAAAGGACTGTTATCCGTTGCCTCGGATAGACAGGTTGGTAGATTCAACTTCTGGCCATGAAATGCTAAGCTTCTTAGATGCATTCTCTGGGTATCATCAGGTTAGTATTCATGAAGCTGATAGGCCTAAAACGGCTTTCATAACAGATGCCGGGGTATACTGTTACAAGGCAATGCCGTTGGGCTGAAGAATGCTGATGCGACATATCAAAAGCTGGTTGATAAAATGTTCACAAATCAGAAAGGCCGCAATATTGAAGTATATGTAGATGATACAATAGTAAAAAGCAAGATAAAAAAAGATCATATAGAGGATTTGAAAGAGACCTTTGCAACTTTGCGGCAATATCAGATGAAGCTCAACCTAGAAAAATGTGTTTTCGGAGTCCGATCTGGAAAATTCTTAGGATTTATGGTTAGCGAGCGGGGCATTGATGCAAATCCTGATAAGATTAATGCTCTTCTTGAAATGAAACAACCTAAATCAATTCGAGACATTCAGAGATTAACAGGAAGAATGGCGGCCTTAACGCGCTTCATCAGCAAATCGGCGGATAAAGCGCTCCCGTTTTTTGTGGTTTTGCGACAAAACAAGTCATTTGAATGGGGAAAAGATCAAGCTGATGCTTTAGAGATGGTAAGAAACCATTTGAAGTCTCTCCCAACAGTTGCACGACCGGAGCCGGGAGAATACTTACATTTATATATATCAGCGTCGCCAAAAACAGTGGCCTCAGTCCTGATAGTTGAGAGGGCCAAACAACAAATGCCAATATACTTTGTCAGTCATGTCCATAATGCTGCTGAACGACGATATCTAGTGATAGAAAAAATGGCCTTTGCTCTCGTAATTGCTGCTAGGAAATTACGACCTTATTTTGATGCACATCCAATAGAAATCCTTACGAATCATCCATTGGAAAAATCATTGCAGAAAATGGGTACATCAGGAAGGTTATTGAAATGGGCTGTTGAATTATCGGAATATGAGCTGTATTACAAACCCAGAGTGTCAATAAAAGCACAGGCCTTATTAGATTTTGTTTTAGAAACCTCCTATAATGATGAGGAGGAAGAATTGGGGACATGGCAGGTATTGGTAGATGGCTCAGCAACCTTAATGGGATCTGGAGCCGGTATTGTGATAACAGCCCCGAATGGAGAGGTTTTTGAATATGCCTTGAAGTTCAAATTCAAAGCTACAAATAATGAAGCTGAATACGAGGCAGCAATTACGGGTATTCAGCTTTCTATAGCGGCAGAAGCGAAAAGATTAGTTCTCAAAACTGACTCGCAGTTGGTTTCCAGTCAGTTTCGTGGGGAATATGAAGCAAGAGAACTGGCGATGATAAAATATCTGGAAAAAATAAATGAGCTTACAGCCCAACTGCAGTATTTTGAAGTTCAATTGGTGCCGAGAGCACAAAATTCCCAGGCTGATGCTCTAGCAAGGCTAGCCAGTTCAAGTTTTAATGACTTGGAGAGAACTGTTATGGTAGAGGTTTTGAAGCAGAGAAGCATAGACGAATCGGCAAAGGAAGTTCATTGCATTCGGCAGGGGGAGCAATGGTATGAAAAAATCCTAACATACTTGCTGACAGGAGCTTTGCCGATAGAGAAAGAAGAATCTCGAAAAATCAAAAAAGATAGCGTATGGTTCATACTATACCAGGGCCAACTCTATAAAAGAGGGTTCTCGTTCCCATTACAAAGGTGTATAACAGCAGAAGAATCTACAAGGCTGATAGAAGAGATTCATGAAGAAACTTGTGGAAATCACCTGGGGGCACGAGCTCTTTCAAGAGAAATAATGAGAAGAGGATATTATTGGCCATCAATGAATGAAGATGCTTCTTCTTATGTTAAAAAGTGTGAAAAATGTCAAAAGTTTGCACCTACTCTGAACCGGCCACCAAATGACTTAACGCCGATATTGAATCCAGTACCATTTGCACAATGGGGGATGGATATAGTTGGTCCCTTTCCGTCAGCAACTGGAAATCGAAAATTCCTACTGGTGGGTGTAGATTACTTCACCAAATGGATCGAAGCAGAATCGGTAACAACAATATCGGCAGCAGAAGTCAGAAAGTTCATTTGGAAAAATATCTTTACAAGATTTGGCCTTCCGGGAGCAATGGTTTTTTATCATGGATCACGGTTTGATTGCAAGCCTGTAAAAAATTTGCTAACAATTTACAAAGTCAAGTTTGCATATGCAGCAGTTTGCCATCCACAATCAAACGGCCAGGCAGAAGCAGCCAATAAGCAGATAGTAATGGCAATAAAGAAAAAGATCGAAGATGCTAAAGGATTGTGGGCAGATTTGATTCCAGAGATCTTATGGGCAAATAGAACAACAGTTAAAGAAGCAACAGGAGAATCCCCTTTCCACTTGGTTTTCGGAACAGAAGCAGTTATACCAGCCGAGGTCGGTCTGCTGACATTCAGAATACAACACTACTGTGAAGAGCAAAATGATCTACTATTGCGACAACAGTTAGATTTTTTGCCAGAAGTAAGGGAGAAAGCAGCAGTTAAATCGGCTGCATAAAAAACAGAATGTCAAGGGCCTATAATAAGAGAGTTAATCACCGGCCATTAGTTGTCGAAGATTTAGTATTAAGAAGAACATCAGCAACAGGAAAGGGGAATGAAGATGGAAAGTTAACGGCTACCTGGGAAGGTCCGTATCGAATAAGAGACATGGTAATGCAGGGATCATACTATCTGGAAACTAAAGACGGAAAGTAGCTGAAGAATGTCTGGAATACTCCAGTTCTTAAGAAATACTATGTATAATATAAAAGTTGAATTAAAGTATTTTATATAATAGTGATGATAAATAAAATCAGATGCAATGATCTACTCTACAATTTGGGTATAAAGGCATCCTCCAATTAATAGATCACCGTTAATTGGGATGGACAGCCAAAAACCACTTCCATGATGACAACGCTCTTACAACCTGATCAGTTGTATTCGTTAAATCACGAGGTTGTTGGTTCAATATAATATCCCGGCCAAATCATTATATAGTATGCGCCGACATGAGGCGCAGCTACAACATGATCGCCGATAAGGGTACTTGCGAAACTATTATATAGTTGCACAAGTGACCAATGAGTTATAAAACAAACTACCTCCGTATATAAAATCATGTAAGTACATACATCATGAAAATGATGTCTGCACTAAGCGGGGAAGAATAAGGGGCTATACTACGCCCGATATTACAGTCTTAATAAGGGGCTATGTTTATATCCTTATGCTTACAAATATAACGGACGAGTTATATAAAGTAAATTGATTCCGAATTGAATAATTAAAAGCAATAAAAGTTAAAACTAAGAAAGTTATAGTGTTTAAGAGAATCGCATAAAAACGTAAATACATAAAAGGTATACAAACATAATATTATGAAGGAAGCAATTTTTTGGCAAAGCTAAAACAAGATCGACAGACATCACCACAAAAGGGTATATGCCGATAAAACAGCATTGTCAAAAGTAAGTTTTCTAAAAATACATAACCAAAGTAGAAATTACAAAGAGTAAGGCCCGATAACACAAGAACCACAAGATGATGATGGTGATGGCTGCCCACCCCTTTAAGCCGTTTTGTTTTCAGGTTCAGGAGAATCCAAAATCTTAGGAACGGAAACGCCGATATCAGCAGGAGGGGCAAGATTAAAGATATCTGCGTCAGAGAACTCTTGTTGCTCAAATCAAGAAGGTGTCTTGTGAGCATCATTATTAAATGTTGTTTCGATCTTAGCCCTGTCTTCTTGTTTTAAGCCGATAGCATGAGCAGCACACCTCTGAGCAGCAGTCCATCCACCATCAAAACGATCTTGCAGTTTACTGCAAAACTCAGCCGATGACAAATAACGACTAACCGCCCTTTGCCGTATACCAGATTTATCGGCTTCTATTTTTGGCAGCTGGCCTTCTAGGTTGCCGATTGTTGCCTTAGCCTTAGAAAGATCACTCTGTGCAATGGAAAGTTGATCCTTCACGGCGTTCTTATCTTCAAGCTGAGATTTAAGATCCTTTATCTCCACTTCAAGATTTTTCATTTTTTCAACTTTCTCGCGCAGAGAAGACAATTCGGCATCATCTTTTGCTTTTATCAGCTTAATTCCATCAAGAGCCTTTCTAGCATTCTTCAAAGCTGTCTCCAGAGATTGTTGGTTAGACATGTTCTGATGATACTTATCTTGATAAAACCTATACATCTCAACCAACTCTGTTCCAGAAGCAACTACCTATAAACAAGTGCAATATAGAAGATATAAGCCAGGTGTCTAAAAAAAAATTAATGAATACATAGTAAATTATAACTACATACCCTCATCAGATCATGCATGTGTTGGGCTGCAACTGGGCCGATCTGTCCAGACGGCCTATCAACTGGAGTTGGAACATTTCGTAACAGCCGATATCCCAGATTTCCACCTCGAAGTGGATTATCAGTGAAAATGGATTCATTACGGAAGACGTCCATTTCAGGCCGCCATTGATCACGAGAACAACCCTCAGGAGCCCTAACTCTATTCAAAACCTCATCAGGAATCTTTCTTTCAACATGTTCAATCCACTGTTCACCCCGATAAGTAATATCGTGAACACTTATGTCAGAATTAACAGGACCGACCTGTTGAGGTTCAGCAGAAATGGGAACAGTTTCCTAATAGAAAATGAGTTAGTAAAAAATAATAAAAGCAATAATAGCAATATAATAAAAAATTTATTTTCGGCCGTTATAGCAAGTAAATTTTTATACCAAGTCTATTACCTGTTGAGGAGTAGGAGACACAGTCAAATCTTCAAACACCTTATCGGCATTTCCTATGTTTGTTGCCAAAACTGTTTTTTCGGGAGCAGAAGTTTTAGGTGGCGATAGAGCCTCTGGCTGTTCAGTGTCGGTCTTTGACCGCTTTGATGCCGGCTCATCTTCCTTTCTTGTAGAGATGGAAGGAACGCTACCACCACGTCTGTTAGCCAATGAGGTCAGACGCCGATTTCTTCTCACATTCTCATCAGCCATCTCTTCTGCTCTTCTTTTAGGATTACGTGTAGGGGCGCGCGAGCAGAAAGAAGTGAAGGTTTCTAATGCCGGTCTTGGAGATAGAGGACAACGGGACAACACTCTCTTGCCGTCAGATGATAAGCCGAGGGCTGCCTTGTCCAACTTTTGTGGGCCTACATGTCAAAGATAATTAATAAGTATAAACCGTTAAAAACAATATCTGTATAAGTAATTTAAACAAAAGTATCATATTAATATGTAAATACTGACAACGTAAAGGATAACAATAATTTATAAGGTTAGTACCATAATTATTAGTCCGACATAAACCGATATAAGATAGTGGTGCGTTGTTCAAAATGTACTTTACATTTGGCAACCACACTTTCGGAACAACACGAGTTTTTCCACCGATATTGACCCTAATGGCGTCAAAGTAATCACAGGCCTTCTGTTCTTGAGGGCCAAGCTCTCTCTCGGCAATATGGCCGAAACGAGGATGAGGCCGAAAGAAAGTTCTCCTGATAGGAAAATCTTCCAGAACACTCATGAAAAAGAACTTATCCTGCCAACCTTTACAACTTGACAACTTAGGGTTTACGGTGAACTTGTGAGAGGCCGTATACAACGACCACCAACCCTCAGATTGTCCATCACATTTCAAAGTTATTAACCTCCTAAACAAATTCAAAGTTAACGGAAAATTCTTATACAGCAACACCCAAACCAGGACAATAACGGCGCGAATAGTAGGAGGAGTAACTTGTACCAAGCATACATTCCATGCCTTAAAAATTTTAGCAATAAAAGGATGAAGAGGAAATCGGAGGCCGAATTCAAAGTGTTTGGCATAAATGGCGTTATGACCATCAGGACAATCAAGAACAGTAGCAGAAGGTGGTGGGAGTATTAACTCATACCCATCCGCCAAACCGTAAAATCTTTTTGCCTTACGGCAATATCCCTTTTCTTCGGCTAATTTCAGCTAAACCTTGCTAACGCTAGCTTCAGCAACCTTACTGTTAGAAGGTAAGATAAGAGGTTGTCGGAAATCAGCCTCATCAGTTTCAGACTCATACTCCTCATCTAAACTTTCTTCATGAGTAACTTGAGCCATAATATCAATCATTTCGGCTCTCTCAGGGCTTTCAGTGTTATCGCCCTGATTTACTTCTTCATCGCTATCATCATCATCATTTAACACAGACTTGATAGCGGAATCGTGAACAGAAGATTTCGAACCTCTTTCAGACTCAGAGCTAGAAGAGCTTATAACTTGTGCTTGGCCAGGCCTTTTACTTGGCTCAGGCCTAGAGCTTGGTTCAGCCTCAGCGGTCTCAGATGGGTTGTCAGTCGGCCTAGATCTCGGCATATCAGAGGTTCTGATGTGAATATTTCCGACGTTAGTTCCGTATTGATCAAAATCAGGTTTGTCGGCAAAACTCCGCAAATGATACCGGATGTTAACAGGTTCAATTTCAAGAACCTCAACGTCCTCAGGAATGTTAGGGTTTGTAGGGCGTCGTGCCTTTTCACAATCCGCTAGTATTTTATGACGGTAAAAAGCCTCCTTTTGCTCTTTCTCTGATAACGGCTAAAAAGGGTCGTCAATATTATCAGACAAAGATGAAACTCCGCTTTGGTTATGGCCGAGATCTTTTCCCAAAGACTGCCTAATAAGACGCCGCCTAACAGTACTAAGGGGGGGTTGTTCTTCAGTATTATTATTGGACATTTAATAAACCAACTAAAAACTAAAAAATGGGTAAACAGCGAATGTATTCCAACGCATGAAAATTGAAATTGAAATCTTTAAAATACCTTAAACTACTTGATGGCAGCGACGACGCAAAGAAGAATATTAGACGCTTCAGTAATGTGAAAAGTCTAGCAAGACCCAATTGCGGTTATCCCAAACAAAGATCGCAGCCTTCTCTGATAAAATTCGCAACTTTTAATGAAGGAGATGTGAAAATGTGAAAAGTAAAAAAAAAAACGGAAAGAGAAGTTAAAAAGGAAGTTGAAAAGGTGACGTTTGATATGACACCTAGTCAGAAATCTAACGGTTAGAACAAATTGTTAATTTAAAAAAATAAATCGTTAGATCATCGACACGTGTCCTCTATTTATATAATTTCCCCGCTTAAAATTTAAAACCATTACAATTAAAGTAAACCTTGTTTGCTAACGGCAAACAAGGTTACTTGGGGGGAAAAAACGAAGTTTTTCGCTCCTAGCCTAAATATGGTTAAAGTAAACCTTGTTTGCTAACGGCAAACGAGGTTACTTGGGGGGGGGAAAACGAAGTTTTTCGCTCCCAGCCTAAATATGGTTAAAGTAAACCTTGTTTGCTAACTTGGGGAGAAAAACGAAATTTTTTCGCTCCCAGCCTAAGTATGATTCAAGTACGCATAGTATGCTAGTCACATTATAAATCAAATCAAATCAAAACAGAATAATAATAACAAGTGACCACGTTAGATCATCTGATCAAACGTCCTCACTTGGGGGGCTAGTTGTATGGGGAAATATCTACATAATGGAAATCATAATGGGCCGATATGGTATGACAGATCGACATACTATTTGAATTCGATCCATCAAATGGCTTTTATTAATATCGGCATTCCTATAAACTATACATATCGGCATGTAAGTAGCTGCCACGTGTCGTGCTCGCGTTTGACACGTGGCAGAAATTATGTTATTTATTGAACTGCCATCTGTCACTTAGTAAACATATAAATAATCCGGTTTTACTTCATAAACAAGGTAGCATTTATTACACTCTTTCTCTCACTACTTTCTTTCTCTCTCTAAATCATCTTTCTTCTATAAACACTTGCTGACTTAATCTTTGGAGTGGTGATCCCCGGATTCACCCCGGGGCTAGCTCATCTCTTCTCTTTGTGTAGGTTCTTATTTGGCCGATAGAAGCAGAACGGGTTACTTACTCGAGCTTCGGATCTTGAATTCGGATTATTGGATTCCTGCAGAAACAGTGGTGATTGGTGAATAGAATTTTAATAATTAATTTGTTAATGTAAATATGTCGATTTTACTAATTGAATTATTTTTGTTTCGTTTTTATAAAATTAAAATTTTGATTTTTAAACCGTGCATCGCACGGAAACTATACTAGTTTATAATAAAATAGTATGCAGATCAGCATAAGACATAAGGAGTAATTACAATGACTCTTCTCGAAACGCTAGCCATACAGTAGGAACCCTAGTAAATATATAAATGGTTTCATAAAGAAATGTGTATCGTCTACTTCAATATAGAAAGATCTTGCTAAAGAGATTAGTTTGGAGTACATGTACGGATCTGGGGATAAACTTAACCTTAGCAAAAAGTGGATGGAACATCATTGGATTTATATTCTAAACTTTTTAATCGGATGTTCATTAATTTTGTCGACTCTTAACATAGAGGCAATAGGAACTTTTAACTAGACTAGGTGGCTTAAATCCTACGATTCCATGGCACATGACGTAGGATGCAAGACTAGCCATGTGAAAAAGCTCCAAGGTAAAAGGTAAAAAATAAAACCACATAAGAAAGAGCTAAATTATATAAAGAGGCATTTAAATTCAGATAACTATACATCATTAGTTCTTTCATTAAAATAATGTGTAATTCGTATTTAGGTCTGTTCACTTTAACTTAATTCAATTCAGTTTAGTTCATAATTTTCTTCTCTCATAAAATAATCATTTCAATTCAGCTCTAATCGATTAAGTTCAGCTCAGCTCAATTCAGTAAATGTGAAAAAACCCTTAATCTATACTTCTGATCCATATCACCATATGTAAAGCTTAGTTAATATTCTCTTTCTCCCTTAATAAAATGCCTCTTTCTCTTTATTATGTAATGAATAAATGCTCAAAAGAGGGATTTTATTAAGGGACGGAGGGAGTACTTCGTAATATAGAGAGCTCATAGAAACATTGAATAATGAAAGTGATACCTGAAGAAGAAAAATTAAATTATTATTGAAATTGATACTAATAATACTAAAGTTGACCATAATATTCATAAAATAAGATAAAAAATTATTAAATGATGACGTCATTTGATTTTGAGGGAATTTTTTAAAGAAAACTTGACATGTGTCTAATTTTAGAATAGGGTAATGTTAGCGGTTGTTATTTTAGTATTAGGCCCTGTTCTCTTCACCTTAAAAAAATAATATTCAGTAAAATTAATTTTAGTTCGATAAAATTAATTTCAGTTCAGTAAAAATAAATTGTTTGCAAAAATAATTTCAATTCAGTAATAGTTTCAGTTCAGTAAAAATTAATAAACTAAAAGAAGAAATATAATGTAAAATCAGTAAAAAATAATTTCAGATCAGCAAAAATAATTTCAGTTCAGTAAAATTAATTTCAGTTCAGTGAATATAATTTAAGTTCATTAAAAATAATTTCAGTTCAGCACAAATAAGATGAAGAGAACAGGACCTTAATTATATATAGATTAAATGTAAATCGGTTAGCGTTAATGTTTAATGTATCATTTCAAATAATTAATTATTTTCCAAAGGTTTTTGGCACAATGACTTTAAAAAGAGAACATGTAACTTACGCAAATCAGCAAATGGATCTGATGATGAATGATAACAATTTTTTTTTATTAATCACAACTTTACAAGATATTTAAAAACTTTAATCAAGTAAACTAATTTATATTTACTACACATAATTAGTGTAAATATAATTTTATTTTATTTCGATCCACATCCATGCACCACCGATACTCTTCGCCGATTGCATCTAGGGGCATAGGGCCTATGTATTTGGTATGCACATAGGAAGACAATCTGGAGTTCGGGGGTACATTTTCTTTCTTGTATTAGTACAGTGGTACATTTTTTTGTACCATTATACATGTATTATGTACCACGAAAGTATAAGCTATTTAAATAGTATTTTTTATGTAGTATTATGCATGTAGTGGTACTTTTTGCTATCATATTTTACACCTTCAGATTCCCATTATTTACAAATTTGTCATTCTATTTACATCCTTAATACATAGGACTATGTGCCAAGAGTTTTCCCTCTTCGCCAAGCACATGACGATAAAGGCACCAAGTGCTCGACATTGAATCATTACGGTACTATTAAAGCAAGATGAGAAGAATAAAGCCAGATATTGAAATCATTGGATATTCTATGAACAATACATGCATATGATACTTCAACTAATTCTTAAAGTTCTTCACATTTATTTTTTAGTGTGCTTAATATTTCCAAAATTATGATTTACGGAGTAACTAATTCTTGGAAGATTGAATGGGCTCACTTCACCGCAATTTTTTATTTTTTTGAAATACTTCACCGCAAAATTATAAAAATAAAATATAATAATAATTTTTTAATAGATAAAATTAATTTTTACTGATACATAAAAAGATATTCATGACTAAAGGCCGTAAAGGGTTGCACCAGAGATCGAGCAAAATGCAAAACTGAAAAACATTATAGAAGGGGTAATTTCATTAACTTATTGAGTCAAGTACAAAACTACTACAAACTGTTTTCAAGCTCGTCTCATGCACAATAATTATCATTGAATGCAATGTATGAGAAAATAAAACAAAATAAGGCCGAAGTTTATATGTACAAAAAAAAAAGTTTTGTAATCTACCAATTTCATCACCTTAGGACAAGAAATATCCAGCAGTTGATTGATAGCTTTCCTTGCACTATATGAAAATCTGGACCACATAATCAGTCTCACATGCAATGACCCAAGTCTTTCAACAATTAAATAGACCTTTCAAATCCTTAAGCCATCTCCTCTTATAACATACCTACCATGCTATCAGATTATCCGATTTTTTTTTTTTTCTCTCCTCGAGAATTAAATTCAATCTCGAGTCTTGGGTATCTCCATCCAAAGCTTTACCCTTTAGTAGTTGGCCATAGAAATGGTCATTTAAGGCTGATTACCATAGAATTTTCAATTGAATTGATTTAAGATTTGAAACATACTGTTATGATAATCTTCTTATTTTAGTGAAGGAATGAGAAAACTAAATCATAGGAGACTCTTCTCGACAAAGGAAATTTTAACCTATCTAACTTAAAAATCGTCTGAAGTTTTTTTTCACAAGTTTTCTAGCAGAGAAATTTCAGTGCACTACCCAGAATAAATCAACTTTATTGAGAGGGCAACTCAGAAACAAACCAAATTCTTAATACTATGCCTTCTATGTGACAAAAATAAAATGAAGAACAGAATACACCCTGAATCTTACAGATATATGAGGGGGAAGAAGAGCGATTTTACAGTTATTTTATATGCATTCTGGCTGTATACACACTAAAAACTACACTCGTAATCAGACCAAAACCTATGAAGAACACTAAAGATAGGGGAAAAAGTTGTGAGTATATTTCATCTGTGCAGCAGATACCTGAAACTGAATTCATAGGGCCTAATTTGGACAATTTGAGAAAGAGGTTCGCTTTTAGCTCTTTCAAGACACTTCATAGCGTCTTTTCTGAGCACCATAGGGAGTTGAAGGCAAATCCAGTCCAGCAATGAATCCAAGTCTTTTGCAAAGTCAAGTAGATACCATTGTAGAAGTTTTGGGATAATCAAATCATTATTTTTCGAAATACCAACAGCTGCCTGTAAGTATTCCCTTTTCGCAACTTCTAGCTCAGTTTCAACATGAGCAGCAGTGTAAATTCTGACCTGTTACAATATGTCAAAACAATTCAGCAATAGCATGAAAGAAATCAAAGTACCCATGGTATAAAATTTTATAAACTACTGAGGGTCTTAAGAAAAAGCCTCTTCAGTTGTCAGTAAATAGTCTACAAACATTTTTTAACACTCATATTAGATATTGTATTGTCATTAGGTAAGGAATGATTAGTTTGCAAGGATAGTAAATTAAATCAGAACTTGAAAATTATGGTTAGAATCTTTATAACTTAAAGACACATCCAGGAGTTTCTCGAGCTGACTATAAAAAAGAGGGAGCTATGAATTGCAGATCTAATGACTCTTATCAGAAATATTCAGTTATCTCTCTGGAGTTTGGTTAGTAGCAGTAAATCGACTTTTGAGAACTTACAGCGGGAGAGGACCAGCTTCCACAAGACAGCGCGAATGTAACCAATGGTTCAGATAACTCCAACCCAAAGGTGCTTCGTGCAACCATCAACATCTCATCGTTTTTGGATCCTTTCGTGAAAGTCTGAAGAGAAGTATACATCAATTATTATTGTAAATGATCAGGATTTTGTAACTGCAACTAAAGACCACAAACAAATTTAGTAAATATGATGAAAGAGACTTGACTTACAAATTTAGAGTGGTAAGGTAAACGCAGAACAAAATGTTCAATAGTTATAGCATTTAGCTGGTGTCCCCCCACATTTATTGTTGCCTGCAGAAAGTCATGGAATTACAGATAAGCGAAGGGATATATATCTAGATCTACAACACACTTGCAGCATATTAACATCCTATATCACTGCAGAACAAGACAATATGATCAAGTACACATGCTATTGTTATAACTAAGCTAAGGAAAGGTAGCTTCCAGTACCTTTTGCATCAGTGCAACTATTGTCTCTGGTTTTTCTGGTATTCCATGTTCAAGATATGCCTGAAGCATATAATTAAGCTTATGTCATAGTCTTATAACATGATTGGCATGGATAATGTGTTCAAAAAATAAGCTGTACATACATTCATCATGCATGAATTGTAGACATTTATCCAGAAAGCAAGCTTTTCTTGGTGCGTGAGCCTTTGCAGTTTGACAGTGGCAAGTTTCGCGATGAGTATTCTGAAGATCCAGATGGTTTACCGATACCCACAATGAGCTAACCATTAATTACAGTGTAAAGATAATAAGCATAAAACTGAATACACTTACCTTAGTCGACGATGTAAGAATAAAGAATTTGTTGTTCTATTTGCACTAAGTGAACGAGCATCAACTGAGTACAGATTTTTGTACGGACCAATATCTCTTCTACCAAATCTAGGCCATGTATCATATGGATCCTGGAGTTCAATGTAACCGTCTTTGTCTGGAGAGGAGAATGCAGCAGAGGGAGGAAACTTTTCCATGCTCAACCTATTCTTCGATGTGTTCATTCTTGAGAAAATGCTCAATAAGCACTTGAGGATATTCTCAGATATTGCATTTGGACTTTCATGTCTCAATTTCCGCTCATCTTGAAGAACAGGGGGGCTAGGTTCTGCATCATCTTGGCGGTCATTTCTGCAATGGACCTGAAAATTCAGAACCCAACTTTTAATTATTTCACTTTTCATTCTGCCTTAAAATGGAACAGATAATATATCTTGAATCCCTTACTAACCTGAGATTTCTGAGCATCTGAACACTTTTCCGGTGTTTTCTTCTCAAAGGAAAGTCTCTTAGTGGGAGTTTTCACTATAGGTGACTTCCGGTTTGGTGATTTCAGCTTGTTTTTTGTCGAGCTACTGCATGATTGATTTTCTTTATCTCCTCCATCATCTAAAACTATACAACAGCACCAAAAATATTTAATTTTTAAGCGTTTAAGACTCCAACATTTCATTCTGTGGGAGTGACTGAGAATGAAAAAACAGGAATTTAATGCTATTCATAATTAAGCATGAATTGGTTACCAATTTCAGACTTAGAAGAACTTATAAAGTTAGTTTCATCTTGGGCTACATTCCTCGGATCATCTGTCGAATCATTAGGACATGACTCATTTGAATCATTTGTGCTTTCTTCATTCTTCTTGGAGGATGAAGTATTTACTGCTTCTTGATACAGACCTTTCCTAAAACGTACAATTTGTTCTTCTAGCCTTACAACCTCTTCCTCTAAAACAGCAACTTCAGCCAAAAGCTCAAGGGTCTGGAAAATAATAAAAATAGCAACACTTTCATCAGGACCACTTCCAACTCTACTGTTGAAGACCCCGGCATGTAATAAACACCAGTGAATTAAACTCCTCAACTACATTGCACCCCTAACCCTCCCACTCACCACAAAAAAATAAAAAATTCTTCGATCTTATCATGTTACATATTCCATTCAACAATAAGGTCAATAACTTAAGCCTTATCTAATGGTTTTAGCCAGCCTATTCACAATGCAGAGTTGTCATCATCATACAGCTTGGACTAATTATTTTGATGACTACTGTACTACAGCATTACCTTGAAACAGACTAATCAAAGGTTTAATAAAAATAATCTGCAAGACACAGCAATAAAGCAAACAGAAACAAGTGAAGAAAAAAAAAAAAAACCCAGCAAAATTATAATTTCCTGTTAAAATAGAGCTCCTAAAATAGCATTGGATCAAAAACACGTAAAAAAAACAGCATATAAGCAAGAGTATGAACTGAGTTAACAAAATGTATCATCAGATATGATCCAGAACTAACATAAGGAGGAAGGTAGGCCGGAAGACGAGGAAGGGTCCCTAGAGGCCTAGTAAATGCCCGTTCAAGAGCTCTATGTACATTCTCTTCATGCCTCAGTTTCTTCTTCAACCTATCAACCTGAAATACATTGGAAAATCAACTCTTTTTAAGCATCAAATCAACATTGATCATCAAATATAACCCAAAAAAAGAACTGAAATCACACATTAGATTCATACATCTTGAAGTAAAGCCAATTTTCGCTCTCTACTCGAAATTCGTCGAATTAAGGTTGGTTTGTGAGGTTCCAATGACTTACTCCTCAACATTCCTTGCTTCTTCTGATACTGCAGCATCAAACAAGTAGTGATAACTGATAAGTGAAAAAAATGTAGTTGTAAGAAAAAAAAAAAAAAAATTTGTAATAATATAAGGTGAAATTCCTTCCTTACTATTATTAACTTATCAAGAAAAGAATAGATTCTAAAAAAAGAATGACCCACAAAAAAAGACAGCTAAGAGATAAAAGAAAAGAAAGGCAAACATCCCACTACTGATAAAATGCATAGATTATCACTTTTTCTATACTTCAGGATTAATGATGCTAAAAAGACAATTAAAGAAAAAGAAAAAAGAAATAATATTGATAAAATCACAACCAATTGAAGAATAACAACTACAATACCGATTCGCTAATGAAAAAAAGATGGGTCGACTACATGAACTAAGAATTTATCTCTTGTGGGCGTCCACAAATATCTGTTTCTATTGTATCAAAATTACAACAAATTGAAGTAAAAAGGACTAATTTCAGAACTACTTAAAATAAGAAATTGATCAAATTAAATCAACCATTTGGATTAAATTCCGAAACCCAACTCAGAAATAGATTGAATAAAATAAGAGATTTAGTAATTTACTCGATCATGCTTCATTAGAATTGTATGATTCATCTCTCAATGCTGAAGCTCATAAATCACCACATTCAACTGCAAAATAATTTCAAAGCAAAAATAAATAGATTAAATTAAATAAAAAAAATAGGAAAAAAAAAAAATTCAATCAATAGTATGAAAATGTGAAGACATAGAAATGCATTATAATCTCAAAATTAATTACCATCAAGTGCATTATTAAGAAAAATGTGAAGGAGCGGGAAAGTTGAAAAGGGTAAAATTTACAATTAAAATTAGGTAAGCAAAGCAAAATTGGGTTGAGTAGGATTGTCCTCGAAGAGTGTGTTTAAGGAGGTGAATTTCCAGAGAGAAAGAGGGGAGAGAAAGGGAATTGAAGTGATGAGGAGAGGTGGAGGAATGTGGCTAACTGGCACTTCTAGCTAAGCAAACATTATTATTACGTAGTATTATAATAAAAAGTTTATATTATATGGTTTCAGATAGGCGGATCTATTAAGGGGCCTGGGAGGGGCTCCCCAAATTTTTTATTTTTTATTTTTTTATTTAAGTAAATATATAAATTTATAGGTTAAATACAACTTTTATGCAATAAATAACATCAAATTAGTTTTGTCATAGTGGTAATGCATTTAGTTTGGACTAAAAATCTTAGGTTCAAGCCCTTATATAAGCATTTAATTTAATTTTTTTATTTAGTGCCCCTCCACAATTACCTTAAAATTTATCACCGACGATAAATTAATATAAAAGTTATTAAGATGCGACAATTTAATACAAAACTAAACGAGATAATACAATTTTTTTTTATTTAAGGTAAAAAGAAGGTCCTATCCGGTCGTAACCTCTCACAGGTCTAACCTGACCTAGGTTAGTGGGCTAGACAATTTGGGGGGGGGGGGAGAAGGGTAAGAAAATCCGCACCCAAATTAATTCTAATGGAGTTTGATCCCTGAGGTGACAAACATTATTACTAGACCAAGTTTAGCTTGGTACGAGATAATACAATTTGATCTAATAAATTAACAAAACAAACAAAACAATTCGGGGCATATCAGATACTTCATACATATTAATGGGGGAGCACGATTGTCTCTACATTATAATGACTAGGATATGTGGACACTGTAAACAAAAATTTTAAATCTGCAAAATATAGATTCAAAACAAATGCAACAAAGTGTTAATTTATTAATTTGAAACTTTATGGGTACAATCTCTAATTTGCTCATCTGATTCGATATCTACTTTGACTTTGACGTAATTCACGGATTGATTTGATTCTTGAACAAGGGTCGTAGAAGCTTGATCTCGATCGAACATTGATGCAAAACTTTGATTTATGTTGATGTAGACCTTTGACTTGTTGTTGATGTAGACCTTTGATTTAAATTCTTGATTGAGGGCCGACGAAGCTTGATCTCGATCAATGACTATTTGATGTAGAGGTTGAACTGGTGATATTCTTGATGTTTCGAAGTTCTTCTTTTCCTTCGTGTTGAGGGCCTTCGAGGATTGTTTACTTCCACAGGTGATCTTCTAAAATAAAACGGCACGTCGAATGCTTGTTGTTCTTCTAGGTTGTGAGATGTTTTCTCTAAAACGGTTTGGAATATTTGGGAGGTTTTCTCCGGAGGGGTTTAGAATATTTGAGAGGCTTTTTATGTATTTTTATTCTCCTTGTTTTCTCTAGTTTTCCTCTCAAATAAAGTAGAAAGAGTTCTATTTATAGAGTGAGGGAACACCTAAGGGTTAGGGCTGGCAAACCTTGACCCGACACGAAAACCCGACCCGAACCCGACCCGAAGTTACTGAGAGAGACCCGAACCCGACCTGAACCGAACCCGAACAACCCGAATTCGACCCGATTTGACCCAAATTTCATATTTCGTAATAATATTAAGTTTTACACTATATTTAATAGTTTCTAAGCATAACCCGAAATCGACCCGAAATCTGACCCGAACCCGACTTGCTGACCCGAATTGCCACCCCTACTAAGGGTAAGGGTTTGATGTACATTAGAAATTGAGCTTGACAATACAACGTTAACCAATTTATAATGGCCTAATCAATTTATTGGACTTTAAGAATCAAAATGAAAATATTTAATTAAATTAATCAAAATGGGATAATTTAATTTATTTCACCCAAATTAATTAATTTAAATAAATAGTCAGACCACATTGAGTCAACAATATGACTTTTAATCCGTATAAAATTTAATGTGACACTTATATAAATTTTACGTGCCTACAAATTGCCCCCTTTGAGATAAGTCACGGACACGAGTTTGGTGAAGTGTTTGATTGTGATTGAATCTTGAAACTCTTAAGAAAAGATATTGAACTCTTACACTCCGTATGTAGCTTAGCATTCAACTCAAGTACTACAAGCAAATAAGAATTGCTTTCTATAGCAAGCTAGTAGTACAGGTTCTCATCATATGGGATATTAATTTCCTTAACCATAGCCACGTAAAAGGCTACTTCATGCAAACACCTTTTTATTTTTTATTTATTTATTTATTTTTACTTGGGATAAAGCTCCTAAACCAATTTTCATGAAAGGCTCTAACTATATTGAAGATAAGTTTGGCTTCAACTGCATCTAAAGCCACACACACTGGCTTAGTTTTCATTTTTTTTATTTCAATTTATTTATGAGAAAGATATTCTTGGCCATGCTGGAGATAAACTTTGAAGTTCTTTCACGAGATGCACATCTTCATGCATGCTTACCCCACTTCTTTTTTTTGTTTAAGGATAAACTTGAAAGTTTAATAGATTAAACCCGTGCAATTCTATCTCAACAACCAATAATGATAAGTTTAGCAACATAGTAATCTTTATCATATTAACAATTATCATTATCATCATATGCGGGCTTGTGGCTATAAATATGTACCAAATTCCAAAACATCAATGATACTTCCACTCACGATGAGGAAGAGCCGAAGAGGTGAACTCAATCAATGTTACTCAAGCCACACCACAATACCACCTATACTTTGATGCCACGCTGTAACACCTACCACGCTATGCCACAACACCTACTTTGATGCCATAAAGGAGCCTCTAGAGCGAGCCACGCCACACCACCTACGACTTTGATGCCATGGAGGAGCCACTAGTGCCAAGCCACAAAACTCGTTGTCTTTGTCGATGCCTTGGCGATGATTTTTTTTTCCAGGTTTGTGATCTTCCTTTATTTTATGGAGTACCATCATCTTTCTTCCATCACAGAGTCGACATGGAGGAGCAGAAGTCATTGATCATGGGAGCGAGAAGACGTCTTTCTAAGCTTTATGCAGTCATGGTGAATATGTTGACTATCCAAGCTATACCGAAGCCTTACGTCAACATGGATCTTGTATCTTGAAGTCACCTGTTGGACCTTACAACCTTGACATGGTAGAGTCATATATTTGAGCCTCACAAGTCGAGCCTTGCCGTATCAAAGTCGTACTCAAGCCTCGCTAAGTCATGCACGCACATGACAACTAAAAAATGGAGGCCTTTATTCGCAACAAACGATGCGATATTTGCACTATTACACCATCTAGCTTGCAGCTCTATGTTTTGTCACCCACGTGTCCGAATTTCAAGTAAATCGGACCACATTTTCCCATCCGATCTAGAGGTTGATAAAGGCTGCACCAACAACTTCGTGGCTGCAATACCATCTCCCATTTCAGTTTTTTTTTTTCAATGATGATCATGATCATGACATCACATGACTTTTTTTTTTTTTTTTTTTTTTTTTTTTTGCGCAGATCTTTGGTGCTTTGGGGACCTTCTCCTGATCTTCTAAACTTGTCGGTGAAGCATTGGTGCACGACAGCTTTCTCTAGTATTCGTGTTTGATGAAAATTTACGAATCTTCGGTGCTTGCAGCTTTCCCTGAATCTCAAGAACTTTGGTGGACCGGTGCTTGATAGCTTTCTCTAATCTTCATGTCCAAAACTTTTAGTTAACGATGTCTGGTGCTTGGAAGCTTTTTCCAGATCTCAAGAACTTTGGTAGATTGGTGCTTGATAGATTTTTCCGATATTCTTGTTCAACACATTTTGTAACACCCCCAAATCTCCCTCTAAAGAATACTAGTAAAATATGTATAATTATACCCTAGGGATAGACTTGGGCGTATTATCGCCGCACGATTACGCAAGGCTACCAAGCTTACTAAATAAAACCAATACTTTGTAGAGAAAACTTCAATACTCTTTTTTCATTAATAAACCATAAATAATACTCCCTCCGTCCCCTAAAGATTGACCTTTTTTGCCTAATTTTAGTCCCAAAACGATCGACCCATTTGCAATAAAGTACCCACCAATTTGCAACAATATCTCTGCATAATTAGCTTTCCCATATAGAATTTTATTTTTCCATGTACTTTATTACTTTCTCTCTCTACTTTTTTTACAAACCACATGTAAATTTATCTTCCATACTTTTACTTCTTTTTACCCGAGAAATCAGCCCAAAAGGGTCGTTCTTTCGGTGACGGTGGGAGTAACTATAGTCATGAGTACTTGATCACATATTGACTTCACCTGAAATTAGTCAACAAACAGGGTGAACTAAAACAAAAAATATGCCAAGTACAATAAGTGCAAGATAAGTAAACTTAATTTATTAGCAAACATGCTTTTAAAATCAATTCCAATAATTAGTTCAATAATTCCAAACGCATGATTCAAAACCAATTCCAATATTTCAAACAATTCTAATAACTTAATAATTAAAACAATAACTAGTAAAACCAATTCCTTTTAAATCCAATTCCTCACCCAAGTGTGAACACCTCCAAGATAGTCTCCTTATATTATAAGACTATTCTTGAGGAAAGACTTGGTCATACAAAGTCCAAAGTCTTATAAACCAAATCCGCATAGTGGGATTAATAACATGGTTGTAAAGATTTAATGATAACTGTACGGGATAGCTCCCGCTAAGCTATCATCGGGCTCCCAGCTTTACTTTCAAGGTGCGCCACCTAGAGGGACTCACCGGCTCGGGAGTAGTCAGCCAGCAGGCTGAACTAGTGGGACTCCACCTAAAGGAGACCACACGCCATAAATATGGGATAAAGTACAACTGAAAAGAGGTTAGACACACATTCTATCACATTATCTCTCTCTAAACACACTCTAACTTAGGCATCGGAGGGGGGTCCTTCGAGCCACCCCCGAGGGCAGTTTTGTGCTGCCTTGTGCAGGTCACCAAGTGGACCCAACTTGGACCAGCCAGAACCCTTGGATCCATACCCGACACAATTGAGCTACAAGGGGGGAAGGATCATCTGACCTGAGGTTCGCTAGTTGTGAAAAGGACTAGTTGGTAGATTGCCATGGTCGGAGAAGAACCTGTACAAACACCGGTATCTAAGGTTAATGAAACCAATCAAACACAACAAAAACAGCGTCAATAACTGTTTCGGGGTTTTTTTGTCCCTCGGGAGAGTGACGACACTAAGACTGGATCCAGCAAGGGGCGCCTGTACCTGCAAAACAAACGAACTGTCGGTTGGTCGGTGGTCCGCCTCCGAATGTTAAGTTAGTAAAGTATTTGGAGTAAAACGTGCGAAAATAAAGCTATCTGCTTGGATTCCAAGCTCAGGCGTACTGTTTCTTGAGAGTGACAGTTCAGGCAATGATTGGTATTTAATCAAGGTTATGTCATAAA